TTTCCCTTAGATGCCATTTGCTATTTATCAAAAACTACTGATAAAAGAAAAAGAAAAAATCCTGGGCCTGGTGTAGTTGAAATTGGAAACTATACATGTTCTAATGCATAAATTGGTACGATCCATTTGGAAAAAAATATATAGCAACATAAAATGAATCATAAAAATGTTCATACCCTATAATCCAGCAATCTCACTCCTAGGGATTTATCCTGGACAAATTATTCAATAGGAGAAAAAAACTACATATACACAAATGTTCATTGTATCATTGTCTCTAATAGCAAAGAACACAACAAGAACAACAAAAAAGAAAACAAAATACATGAGAAAATGGCTTAGTAAATTATAGTATTGCTAAAAACAAATCACGCTTTAACTGTTAAAAATAATAATCATAGCCCTGGCTAGGTAGCTTAGTTGGTTGAATCATCATCCTGTACACCAAAACATTGTGGGTTTGATTCCTAGTCAGGACACATACCAATGTTGGGGTTCAATTCCCGATTGGGGCATGTATGGGAGGCAACCTATTGCTGTTTCTCACATCCATGTTTCTTTCTCTCTCTCTCCCCCTTCTTGTCTCTCTAAAATAAAATTTTTTTAAAAATCATGAAGACTGGATAGTGAGACAGAAAAATATCACAGAATTACACGAAAAGCAGACTACAGAAGGATTTGTATACTGTGATCATCCATGTAGATGAGAGCTAAAAGGTAGGTCATGAAAACAGCATTGTAAGGTATTATGATTCGAGATGTTTTTACTTATATTTTTTCCCTCCAAAAATTTTTAAATGTTTTACTGTCTTTTCTGTTACCTGACCATTTTTAAGTTGTTTCTGAATCCAATTTGGATTTCTAAGTTTTGCTCTGATTCTCATGTAGAACAGAAATCTGACTCTTCTCATCTTAACAATCCTCTACTTGAAAAAGGAAAGCAATATAACATTTCCAAATGTCCAAATCTAAAGAGGAAGAGCCAAAAAACAAGGCTGCATCCACTCATGCTGTTGCTGCTGCCTGAAGGATTGCTGATATACTCAGGAATCCAGAGAGGAGAGGAAAGAGGAACCACCAGGGCCCTCTTCCGAGTGGCAGTGTGCTCACACGGCCACCTGGAGAGAGGTAGTAGGGTAGCAAAAAAGCCAGTACCACTTTTACCTGCCTCACCAGATTGCTGCCTTGCATCATCTCCTTTCTGCTCATCTTTCACAGGTATTTTCTAAGGCCCTGCCTCTCTGGGAAAGCCCAGATGCCTGAGATGTCACAATGTCATGCTCTAGTTCAGAAGATGTCACAGAGAAGGACGCCTGTCAGCAGTCATGGCCAGTGTGCCTGACAGGGAGGAACAGACAGGTCACTTAATGCCTAATGTCTGAAGGCTACTCAACTCTGCAGACATAGAACTCGGCTTTGTTTGCCCTCCCAGAGCTGGTCGGCCTGGGGAAACTGACCCACACGGACAACCCTAGGTGAGCCTTTTGTTGAAGCTACCTGCCTGCCTTGTAAAGGAGAGGAAGCTGGCTGAAAACTTGAGCCAGATAACCACCCAGGAGAGACAACCCTGGAGAGACAACCAATGAAAAGAATGTTAGGTGAGCAAAGAACACAACACATAGTGCTGGTCCACTCAGAGAGGCCTCCCATTCCGTCAGGTGGCCTGACAGGATGTGGCTCCTCTATAACCAAGGAACCTGGCAAAACTGTCCAGAAGCAGTGTCCCATCACCCAGAACCCTACCTCCACCTCTGGACAGTCTTGGTCCTTGCTACAGGACACCTTTCGTTCCCAAAGCTCTACCCAGCTTACCTTAATTCACAGAGCATCATACAGGGTAGTTTCCAGTTAGCTCAGCTCATCCCTTATATACTTATTGGCCAGTTTTGATATCAAATAGAGATGATCTCATCTTGGACCTTGCCCTGCACCCTCAAGGCCCCTCTTTCTGCTGGTCATAGGCATTATGTGATTAAGGATAGAAGGAGTGATGAAGACCATAATGCTGTGAGGTCAGAGAGGTTGTGGTCACTGAGTTAAACTCATGGAAGGGGAGGGGAGGAGAGGAGAGAAAGGGGAGGGGAGGGGAGAGGAGGGGGGAAAAGGGGAGGGGAGACTAAAGGCTAAACTATATTAGCTGCTCCATAGCCTCTGGCAAGTCACTCAACTTTCTGTGCCTCAGTTTTCTCATTCATAAAATGGGACTGACAGTGTTTACTTCTCAGGCAGATGCATTTTGTAAACTGCAATAGGTATTTGGCTATTATCAGTGTGGACTGGAATGTTCTGAGAAGAAGCAGATTACGAGGTGGGCCCTAAGATTGAGGAAGATTCAGGATACATGCTCAGGAAGAGGATGAGCACTACAAGCGTGAGAAATGGCACAAGCAAAAAGGCAGAAGAGATGTACCAAGTTTGGCTGCAGTAGAAAGCTTGTCCCGGAGAAGCGAATGTAAGGCTGGAAAGGTAAGTGTGCCGTATTCCAGATGTAAGGCTGGAAAGGTAAGTGTGCCATATTCCGGATGTAAGGCTGGAAAGGTAAGTGTGCCGTATTCCGGATGTAAGGCTGGAAAGGTAAGTGTGCCGTATTCCGGATGTAAGGCTGGAAAGGTAAGTGTGCCGTATTCCGGATGTAAGGCTGGAAAGGTAAGTGTGCCGTATTCCGGATGTAAGGCTGGAAAGGTAAGTGTGCCGTATTCCGGATGTAAGGCTGGAAAGGTAAGTGTGCCCTATTCCGGAGGTAAGGCTGGAAAGGTAAGTGTGCCCTATTCCGGATGTAAGGCTGGAAAGGTAAGTGTGCCCTATTCCGGATGTAAGGCTGGAAAGGTAAGTGTGCCCTATTCCGGATGTAAGGCTGGAAAGGTAAGTGTGCCCTATTCCGGATGTAAGGCTGGAAAGGTAAGTGTGCCCTATTCCGGATGTAAGGCTGGAAAGGTAAGTGTGCCCTATTCCGGATGTAAGGCTGGAAAGGTAAGTGTGCCCTATTCCGGATGTAAGGCTGGAAAGGTAAGTGTGCCCTATTCCGGATGTAAGGCTGGAAAGGTAAGTGTGCCCTATTCCGGATGTAAGGCTGGAAAGGTAAGTGTGCCCTATTCCGGATGTAAGGCTGGAAAGGTAAGTGTGCCCTATTCCGGATGTAAGGCTGGAAAGGTAAGTGTGCCCTATTCCGGATGTAAGGCTGGAAAGGTAAGTGTGCCCTATTCCGGATGTAAGGCTGGAAAGGTAAGTGTGCCCTATTCCGGATGTAAGGCTGGAAAGGTAAGTGTGCCCTATTCCGGATGTAAGGCTGGAAAGGTAAGTGTGCCGTATTCCGGATGTAAGGCTGGAAAGGTAAGTGTGCCCTATTCCGGATGTAAGGCTGGAAAGGTAAGTGTGCCGTATTCGGTTGGTGATAAAGAGATACTGACCTTTTTGGTCAAGTAAGTGAAAGGATGAAAATAATGTCTTAGAAGATTAACTTGGCAGAGGTATTATGGATAGAGGGAGTGGAGGCGAGTTAGAGTGCTGGCAGGGTGGTTACAGAAGGGTGCTGAACTCAAGATACCAGCTATGATGAGGGCCTTAATGAAGGCAGTGGCACAAGAATATGGTGACAGGTGCAGCGACTATGGAAGACAGTATGGAGTTTCCTCAAAAAGTTAAAAATGGAACTCCCATTTGACCCAGTGATCCCACTTCTAGGAATATATCCCAAGAAACCAGAAACACCAATCAGAAAGGATATATGCATCCATATGTTCATAGCAGCACAATTTACCATAGCTAAGATCTGGAAACAGCCTAAGTGCCCATCAGCAGATGAATGGATTAGAAAACTGTGGTACATCTACACGATGGAATACTATGCTGCTGTAAAAAAGGAACTCTTACCATTTGCAACGGCATGGATGGAACTGGAGAGCATTATGCTAAGTGAAATAAGCCAGTCAATGAAGGAAAAATACCACATGATCTCACTCATTCATGGATAATAGAGACCATTATAAACTGATGAACAAAATAGATACAGAGGCAGAGTAGCATCAAACAGACTGTCAAACTACAGCGGGAAGGCCGGGGAGGGTTGGGGTGGGGGGGTAAGAGATCAACCGAAGGACTTGTATGCATGCATATAAGCATAACCAATGGACACAATACACTGAGGGGGTAGGGGAGGCCAGGGGAAGGTGCGGGGGGGGGGGGGGGGGGGCGGAAAGGAGACATATGTAATACTCTTTGTAAGGCTTTAAGCAATAAAACAAAATTTTTAAAAAAAGAATATGGTGACAGTGAAGATAAGTGTATTCATTCTCTTAACCATTTGTTGAACATGTACTACCTGCCAGGAACTGGGAGTGCATGGATAAAAAATAATCCTCGAGGCTTTAAGGAATTTGGCCTAGTAGGGAAGACAAAGGTGGACCCACATTACGTTAAGAGCTATGTGCTAGGTTTTGTGGTGGCACAAGTGGAGTTAAGTGAGCAACTATGCATGGGTCAAAGAAGTTTCACAAGACGCCTGTATTGGGTACAGGTTGACAGGGGTTCTCTGGTCCCAGGCAGGGAGGTAGGGGCGTGTGCGTGTGTGTGTGTGTGTGCGTGTGTGTGTGTGTATGGGGTGGGGGGGGGGGTGTCACCGGCGTGTCAGGTTCGGGTGAAATTTTACATGTGGTGGTAAGAAGATTTACAAGGCCTGGATAAAGAAGGCTGTAAAGCAACCAGGCATACAGGTCCCTGGAGTACAGCAGGTTCACACTGAGAGCCTTAGATTCCAGCACAAAGGCAAAGGGGAAAGGAAGACCCAGCGCGCACTCACTGAGGGGGGGAGGGGAGCAGCTCCCATGGGTGGCAGAGACATTTAAGGAAAGACTGTTCCAGGGCAGCAGAGCGAGACTTAGGGTGGACACGCTGAGGCTCCTCCCCGCGGCTGGGGCGGAGCAGGTCTCCCAGGACGGGGCGAAGCGCGTGCTGGCGCTCGCGGCTGAGGGGTGTGACGAGGAGCTGAACTACGGTGGCCTAGCACGTCCCTGGGCCATGGCGTCGGGAAACGGGCCCGGCCCACAGCGCCCCAAGTCTCAGATTTCGGGACAACTACCGGCCTCCGAGCCTGTGCACGGGGCGGGCTGCACGGAGAACGGTTCTCGGCGGCCATACCGGCAAGACAGCCAAGGACTGCGGCGACCGCCCACAGGAAGAGGAAGCGGTGCCGCCCGCAGCCGCGCGGCAGCCTACACGCGCCCTAGGTCCGCCCTCCCCGGGCGGAAGTGAGGCCACTGGCCCCGCCCCGCATCCCATACCTCGCGAGACTTCGGAAGAGCCTCCCTCTTGCAACTCGGCCGCCAACATGGTAGGTTATTCTTGTGTCGCCTCCCTTTCAATGCGGGCACCAGACCGCGATCTCTGCTCGCTCTGCACCCCGGCCACCTACCCTCGACCTTAGCTGGCTCTCACAGGTCGCGCATGGCGGGCCGCAGGGTAGGGGGCCGGCGTGGGCCCGGATGCCCGGGCCGCGTGTTCGGCCCGGGGTTGGAGACAGGCGGGCCCGGGCGCCGCCCGGAGGAAGCCGCGTGGCGCCGGGCCAGTCCGCCCCCGGTGCTTTCCTGAGATCGCGGCACCAGACCGATCCTCGATATGCGGGCCCCTCGCAGTCCGGCAAGCTTCGCCCTTGCCCCACCTTTCTTAGGCCTTATCCCGCGCACCTTTCTCCACACAGCCATCCAGACTGAGGAAGACCCGCAAACTTCGGGGCCACGTGAGCCACGGCCACGGCCGCATCGGTACGTACCCGCATCCCGTCCTGCCCGGCCCTGGGCTCTGCCTGCCTGGTGCTCAGCTAGTCAGGAGGCAGATGGCTTAGAAGTGGGTTAGTAAGAGCGTGCGCAGCCGGGTCGGATTGAGTCTGACCTACTTCTTGGGATCCTCTAGTATTTCACTTACAGAGAATAATAGCACATGGGCGGGGGGGTAGTGAAAACTGAGCATTGGTTGAAGGCATGAGTGCTGTTCAAGTCGGAGTCTTGAAGTAGCAGTGCCGACAGGTACTGCGGACTGGGAGCGGCAGAGGCGGGGGGAGACCTGGGCCCCGAGTGTCGGACGGGGAGGGCTCTGCCCTGTTAGCCACGGGACTCTCCTCCTCCAGGCAAGCACAGGAAGCACCCGGGGGGCCGCGGGAATGCTGGCGGCCTGCACCATCACAGGATCAACTTCGACAAATAGTGAGTGTTTCTCGGGCTGTATGTTACTGACAGTTTGGAGTTCGGGGTGGGGGTGGGGGCTGGGGAGGCCGGCTCCAAGCATCTTAAATGGGAGGTACGCCTCCTAACCACCTAAACCTTGCCTGTTGTTGGCTTTTACTGAGTGAACACTTGATGTGAGCTGAGAAATTTGTCATCGAGGCTAGAGTCACGCTTGGGTATTTGCTGTTGCCTTAGTGTGCTAGAGTCCTCGGAGAGCAACTGCTACCCTTATTCACTGACTGTGGGCCCCTGTGGCACAGTCAGTCACCAGGCTAGTGACACCATCAGACTGACCTACACCTCTGTAGGATCCACTTATGCCCTCCAATTAGGGGGTGGTATTTTAACTATTTGTTTATTATTCGGTGAAAGATCTGTTTTATTCAAAAAATGGCTGGAGTGGAGTATCTGTTAAGTCAGGATTCTACACCCATTGACAATTTACACTGTAATGGGGGAGGTGGATTATAAAGATGATAAACATCTCTTCTTAATTGGAGTGACGTTTTGAAACTGGTTGCCTTCTCTCAGTCACCCAGGTTACTTTGGGAAAGTTGGTATGAGGCATTACCACTTGAAGAGGAACCAGAGCTTCTGCCCAACTGTCAACCTTGATAAACTGTGGACCCTGGTCAGTGAGCAGACACGGGTGAATGCTGCCAAAAGCAAGACTGGAGTTGCTCCCATCATTGATGTGGTGCGATCGGTGAGTGAATGAATGTTTGCCTTACATGGGTCCTTGCCTCTCCTCAAAGCTCTTGAGTAATCTAATCTACTTGATCTCCCACCTGAGCCCTATGCCCGATTCCTAACTAGACAGTTCTGCCTTTAGACAGAATTTCCAGAGGTAATTCTCTGACCAGAACTGAACTCCAGTTCATTTGTGACTCAACAAAATATTTGAAGAGTGATTCCTTCTACTCTTAATTCTTTCAAGTACTTTATTTTCACTTGAATGTTTTCCCCCATCAGTAATTTCATTTCTACTGTTATTGTCCTGGTTTGTACAAGTTTGCAATTCTCACCTAAAGTTAGTGGCAATATCTTCGCTCAACTGGCTCTGGTCTGTTTTACACAGGTCTACATCAGGCACCACTACTGACCTTTCATGTTCCCTACAGAATAAAATCCTAGTATGTTTTAATTGTGATTTAAGGCCCTACATTATCTGAAGAGGTGCCCCCCTTCTTTCCCCAAAAAATCCCACCCAAGCTTTTTTGTGTATCTCTTGAGTTTTAACCTCCCATGGGTATAGGAGTAGTCTAAACCTTTCAGTTAAGTGTGATATTCCCCTTCCCAGCCTGTGTACCATCCCTTGAGTAATTCTGGTGGTCGAGACTTCTGGAACATTGCTGGGAATGTGGTTTTCCTTTTTTGCTTATTAGATGGTAATTGAATGGGAAAGGGGGGTGTTGGGCTTTGCCCGAGACTAGAGTCACATCTTGACAGCTATTGTCCTGGTGTGCTACAGTTCTCGGAGAGCATCTGCTGGTCTTGATTCACTGGCGTGGGCAGGAAGTGCCCCCGGTAGTGCCCAGATCAGAAACATAGGCTTCCCAGCTCCTAGATGGAATGGGTTGTCATCTGTCCTCGTACCCATTGGGGAGTGGGTACCTGCCATAGTGTGTTATAACCCTTTTCTCTATTCTAGGGCTACTACAAAGTTCTGGGGAAGGGAAAGCTCCCAAAGCAGCCTGTCATTGTGAAGGCCAAGTTCTTCAGCAGAAGAGCCGAGGAGAAGATTAAGGGTGTTGGTGGGGCCTGTATCCTGGTAGCCTGAAGCTACATGGAGGGGAGTTCATTAAAATGTCCAAGTACTTTTGTCTTCTGGTCTGAGTGTAGGTCCTTTGGCATTGCTACTTCCCTACCTGTACTTCCAAAACCTCCCTAACAGGTTCTAGGAGTTAGGGTATCAAGGCCTGGGGTCCTCTGCAAACTTCCCTGAGGAAGAAAGAAGCCTTTGGACCGATCCTGACTTGAACTTTTCATTTATAAAGTGAGAACGATACCTGTTGCTAACGTGTGTGTATAAGTATTAAATAGTTGAAAGGTCTGTTTGCATTGTATACTCACAATTCACAATGAGTGGAAGAATGTCCTTGACTGTTCCATGGGGCTCAAAAGGACTGTTTTGATGGGACACGGTCTACAGAAGGGAAAAAGGAGTGATAGGACCGAGGCCATTCCTAGGTAGATCATTCCTGAGCCCAAGATTTTTCCACCAGGCTCCCTCATCTTGGACTTTGGACTATTCTAGTCATAACCAAAATCTTGAGATGGGCTCCAGCAATCTGAATTTTAAACATGCCAGGGGTTTTACATATCAAACTGGCTTGTATTATAGAAAGCAGTTGTAAGGATTTATGGGTCCCTGTGCATAGGAGGCTTCATGTTCAAAGAAATGTATCATGAAAATCTTAATTTTTCTTCTAGGCTGCTGTAGATCTAGTAGAAACGTGGGTTATCCTACAGGCCAGAAACTGGGTTTTGTGTGTCTTGCAAAACGCTGATGACACGGATCCTGGGGTAAATTATTATAATCTGCTCTTGTGCTCAGTTGTTTCAAAGATTTTTAAATAATGACCCAAAATAAAGCTTGCGGTCTAGAATCCTGGCCAGATTAAGTTAAGATAGCACTCAAGCCTACTAAGACTCAGCTACTAGGTTTGGTTTGGTGGAGAGTTGTTCTCTTTAGTGCTCTATGGGATCATACATGGGCTGGGAACCATGGGTTTCTGTAGCACAAATCTGTCATGGCAACCCTTACATGACCTCCGGCGGAAGGTGTGCGGTGCCCGCCTTAGACGGGGGGGACTTGAGGGAATTAAGTAATGGGAGTTAAGAGGTGTCGGGCTTTATTCAGTTGGACAAAAGTAATGACCATTTTGTTTTGGGTTTTTTGTTTTTAACTGGACCATTTGGATTTGCATTTTGCATGGCGGTGTTTAAGGAGAAAGGTGAAGTGATGGGTTTTGCCTTAGTGTCCTCCTGAGAAACTATTGAAGCTAAGGCCATGAATCTAAAACAGGTGGTCAGGTCAGTAGATCGAGAACTGCAAGACGTGCCCTGGCTGGTGTGTTTAGTGGTTAGAATATCCGCCTGAGTTCCTGGGTTTGATCCCCAGCTCAATCGGGTGGGGACTGTCTCACATTGATGTTTCCCTCCCTTACACCAAAAATGAGTGGGGGGAAAATACTCTGGTGAGGGTTTTAAAAAAGGATTACAAGATTACATGTTTGAGTCCTTACTGGCACCGAAGGTGTAAAAATATATAAAGTCTGAAATACAGATCCAAACTTAACAATTGTAACTCTAATTTTATTTAAAATTTAGGTGAAGGCACCTACTTAAGGATCATGGGGATTAAGTAAAATGTACAGCATTTATTAAAACTTGTTGACTTGGTTACAATTATGTAAGTGAATTATGGGAGCAGATGAGAAACCTTGGTGTGATTCAGTTCATGGTAAAGTGGTCCAAGCTGAGGGAAGAAGAAACATGCCTTCAGGAAACCAATCTGAAAAAGACAAGGCTCTGGGGCAGTGGTTCTCAACCTTGGCTGCTCATTAGAATCACCTGGGAATCTTTAAAATCCTCATTTCTGGGCCTCATCCTACGGAAATTCTGTTTCTTTGTTACTAATGTTGTGGCCCCACCCCATAACAAAGAAACAGAATTTCTGGAGGATGAGGCCCAGAAATCCGGATTTTAAAAAGATTCCCAGGTGATTCTAATGTGCAGCCAAGGTTGAGAACCACTGCTCTAGGGAGTGGGCTACAGTGGAAGTGTAGAGGCCAGGAACAAGAAAAATGGGATTCAGAAGACAAAATGGTTAGTCCTGGGATGGTGGGGTTTAGGGGAAGAATCGCTTGTCCCTTCGTGATCAGCTGTCCAGAAACAGGATGGTGCAAATGCCGTGCTAAATGTGTAAATCTTTTAAGGCCATCCCATTTCTTGGCCTGGGAAAAGCAGCTACTGATCTACTGAGCTTTGTTCAGTGTTCGTATTCACCAGGACAACTAACAGCGGGGCAGATTTTCTGATTCCAAGTATTGCCCAAGGAAGCTGGGGGACTGAAAAGCCAAACGTCCATGCCCAAATGAGTGACAGGCACAGACCTAGAGTGGCTGGAACCAAAGGCAAACTTGAGGTTTTAATTTTATATTTCAGCTGAGATAAACTCAAGCTTCAAATAACGTGTCTTGTGGACACAAGCTCATGATGCCCCTAGTGGCCGCTAAGTGCAGAGGATTAATGACGTGCTTTCATACACTGTACAGGCATCAGCTGTGTCAGAAGCCCTTCTAACATCTTCAACCTTTTGTTCGTGTCAGAAGATGTAAAAACTGGTATTGCCTAGCACATTGGGTTGACACCTAAATTATCTGCAAGCTGGAATTGCTACGGGTATCGTTACTGGCCTAGTACATGCTTTGTTTTCATACAAACCTCGGAACTGCACCTATAACATAATGGGGAATGTCTGCCACATATTTGGCAAAATTAGCTAGGTCAGATTTAAGATTTAAATTCATAGGTATTTCTATTCGATGGCTAGCCCAAAAGCAACGAAAACAAACCTGCGGCGCGAGCGCGCACCTCCGGCGGAAGACGTGCGGTGCCCGCCTACACGGTAAGGCGGAAAGCCACGGGGTTTCGGGCGGCCCGAGCCCTGCGGAGCTTAGCGCTTCCGGGCCACCCTCGTGGGTCTACACCGCCCGACTTCCTAGGTCCCTTCAGGTTACGACCACGGCTCCGCTCGCTCTCCCCCGCCCTGAAAGCCACTTCCGGAGTGAGGTTCTAGTTCCGGGATCACTTTGACCCCTGCAGAATGACCGGAAGCACGGCGAACCCGGCTCCACCCCTTGGCTCAGCTATTTCCGGTAGTGGGCGGGGCCGCCCCGCTCTGAGCCGCGGGAAGTTCAATTCCGGCCCCGGTCCCGGTGCGGCTCGTGCCGCCGCGAAGAGCGGAAGTCTCCGCCGCTTGCACACTTTCCAAACCCCGTTTCGGCCACGCTTAGCGGGAGGCGTGGGCTTTATATACACTTTCAAGACGGTAATTTCCAGATCTCAAAACTGTTTCTGTTGGCAAAAAGATAACGAGCACCAACTGCGTTTGTCTGGCAACGGGCACTCGTGTGTCCGGCCAGACCAGCGTCAGGGAGGGATATCGTCCCTCAGCAGCCATTTTGTATCTGTGTAAATTCGTGTGGGTCCGCTGTCTCGTCGCGTCGCTTTTTGTTCTTTGTTTTTGTCTTCTGCTTCTCCTCTCTCATCCAGGTCACATGGGCCAAGGAAGCAGCACCCCTCTTTCTCTCACAGTGGCACATTGGAAGGACGTCCGGAGTCGGGGACTCAACCTCTCCGTCAGTGCCAAGAAGGGTCCTTGGCAGACTTTCTGTTCATCTGACTGGCCAGCCCTAGGCGTAGGGTGGCCAGCGGATGGGACTTTTAACCTATCTATTATTTTTGCAGTAAAGAACAAGGTGTTCCAGTCAGGCACGGCAGGCCATCCGGACCAGCAGCCATATATCGTGTGGCAGGACCTGGTCCAAAACCCTCCCCCTTGGCTCAAGCCCTGGCTGACGTCTGGAGCCTCCCGGGTTCTCGTGGCCCAGACCCCTCCTGCAGATGAGGCGAAACGTCCTCTGGTTGACCCTCAGGCCGACCTCCTCCTCTTGGACTCCTTACCCCTCTCCTCTCCAGCCAGAGCCACCGGAGAGACCAGAGCCTTCGGCACCCCCTGCTCCTCCAGCGGAGGGGCCGGCCCAAGGAACCCGGAGTCAGAGGAGACACCCCGCGTCCCCAGATTCGACTGTGGCCTGTCCTCTCCGGCCGTACGGACCTCCACCCCCTCGCGGGGAGGATGACGAGTCGGCCCCGCTCCAGCCACTCCAGTACTGGCCCTTCTCCTCGGCAGACCTCTATAACTGGAAAACTAACCACCCTCCCTTTTCAGAGGATCCCCAGCGCCTAACAGGATTAGTCGAGTCCCTTATGTTCTCTCACCAGCCCACTTGGGACGACTGTCAGCAGCTACTTCAGACTCTCTTTACTACAGAAGAACGGGAGCGGATTCTTTTGGAGGCCCGAAAGAACGCTCCCGGCCCCGACGGCCGGCCGACCCAACTCCCCCATCTGGTGGATGCGGCCTTTCCTTTGGCCAGGCCGGACTGGGACTTCAACACGGCAGAAGGTAGGGAGCACCTGAAGGTCTACCGCCAGACTCTAGTGGCCGGCCTCAGAGGGGCAGCACGGCGCCCCACGAATTTGGCTAAGGTAAGAGAGGTCATCCAGGGGCCCACTGAACTGCCCTCTGTTTTTCTTGAGCGGCTAATGGAGGCGTTCAGATGGTACACCCCCTTTGACCCCGCCTCGGAGGGACAGAAGGCTTCGGTAGCCATGGCCTTCATAGGGCAGTCAGCATTGGATATCAAGAAAAAGTTGCAGAGACTTGAGGGACTACAGGATTTTACACTCCAGGACTTAGTTAAGGAGGCAGAGAAGGTATACCATAAGAGAGAGACTGAGGAGGAGAAGGAGCAGCGGAAAGAGAGAGAGAGAGAGGAAAGGGAAGAGAAAAAGGAGAAAAGGGAAGAGAAAAGGCTAACCCGTATCTTGGCCACAGCAATAGGAGGAAGTAAGCCACAGGAAAAGGGAAAGGGAAGGCAGGTAGGTAACATGGGCAACAGGCCACCGTTGGGGAAAAACTAATGTGCCTACTGCAAGGAAGAAGGACATTGGAAGCGGGAGTGCCCGAAGAGGCTAGCGAAAAAGGCACTGGCACTCCAGGAAGACAGTGATTGAAGAAGTCGGGGCTCGGACCCCCT